ATTTATATATATACATATTATATGTATATTTATTCTTTTTAATTTATTTGTTTAGAAATTAAAAAAAATAGTAAACAACTAAATTGATTATTTTTTAAATAAAATAATTAAAATATTTATAAAATATAAGAATTTATTAATTGCAAGACTCCAGGGGTATTTGTGTCTTTTTATATCAAGTCAACCCTCAAATAGTTCCATAGGGGGGTTTTTGCTATTAAAATAATTTCACAGGGGGGGTTTTTGCTAGTTTATTTATCACAGGGGGGTTTTTGCTATTTTGGGATTACACAGGGGTAGTTTTTGCAGTTTACTCTAACTAACATAATTAGAAAATTTATTTTTCAACGAACAAAAGTATATGGGATTTAAAAATTTCAGATATTGGAAGAAAAAAATATTTCCATTTTTCAATTATCTTAGATTGTAATTGGAATATATAATAATAAAAAAAGTAATTTATGAATGAGAAATGCACTGTTTTCATCCCTCAAGTTTACAATGAGTTCACATTTGGTCCCTCATGTTTCAATATTTGATACTTTTGGTCATTTTCGTCACTTTACCTTTAGTCCGTCAGTTACGGTAGTGATGGACACATGTTTAATTCTGCCAGTTTTAACAGAAAATCGACGGAAATGACTAAGAGTGTTGAATTTTTGAAACATGAGGGACCAAATGTGTTTTTTTTTTAACATGGGGACCAAATGTGGAATCAATTCACAATTTAAGGGGTGAAAACTGTATTTATTTTTCCCAATTATGAATTGATAATATATATGGTACTACAGAGCAGTAGGCAGAAGGTAGTTGTGTTGCAATATGCACCGCACTAATGTGTGTGTGAGAGTTAGGTAACATAAACCCCATTTCCATGCATTTAAATCCTACTAAATAATCCATCAAACCAAACCTCAAACCAAACACTATGAAACCCGCCGGAATATTCGCCGCCGTCTGCCTCCTCCTGGCAGTGTACTGCGCCGTCGACCCGTTCGACCACTCCGCCATTTCCGAATTCCCGGAATTCGAGTCGGTTAAGATTGAAATGCCTGCGTGGTCTTCAATTCCGGTTGATAAAGACCCAGAAAACATGCTCCAGAAATCTGAAATCAAATTCCTGAACCAAATACAAGGGCCCGAAAGCATGGCGTTCGACCCGAATGGCCGCGGCCCGTATACTGGGGTTGCTGATGGGCGGATTCTCTTCTGGGATGGTCAGAAATGGACGGATTTTGCTTACACTTCAGCTAATCGGTGAGTCGGAAAAAGGGGATTTTTTTTTTTTTTTTTTTTGGTTTTGATTTTGTGTATATTTTATTTCCTCGTATTTGATGGTTTAAGGTTTGAAGTTTGAACTACATTAAATGAATTTTTCTAATATGTGTATATAATGTTCTGTTAGTGGTGTTTGGGATTCTGAATCTTAGTGCCATTTGTCATCTGTTTATAATTACTGCCTAATTCTGTTAACGTAGTCGATTTTGAGTGGTTATAATTGTTTCTACGTCGTCTTGTTTTGTTGAAATGATTCAAGTATTTAAATCTGACCAAGAAACAACTGAAATTCGAAAACCCGAAACCGGATACCAAATGAAAACGAGATTCTCTTTCCAATTGCTCTGTTTGCCAAGACTTCTACTCGCAATCGTTTACGTTTCTTGGAGATTTGTGAATTGGAAAAAATGATTTCAAGCAAGTGGAGATGTAAAATCCATCAACGAATGATATGATTCCGAAGTAATATTTCGAATGAATTTGCTAATGATTGCTCTTGTATCTGTACGAGTAAATTATTACGCGTCCTCGATTTCTTGATTGCGTTGGGCTTCTGCGTTTTGTTGATATTTAATATGTGACGAAAGTTTGCTTCGCACGTTTGAGCCTTTCTTGTCGAACCAAGTTGATTGATTGAAATAGAATGTCAAGATTCTATAATTTTATTATCTTCGCTAGTTTCCTCGTAGATTGGTATCCGTATCACTGTGTATATATATATATATAAGCATCTTCTTCTCTCTCTATTTTTGTTTCGAAATTGTAGAATCACTTCTTTGTAATTATAGCGAGCGAACCCTATATATATTACTCAAATTCGATTTAAGCATATTTTCCTCGTCCGTAACATTATTTCAGGTCAGGCCTTTGTGATCCAAAACCATCACCGATGAGCTATTTGAAAAACGAGCACATATGTGGCAGACCGTTAGGCCTAAGATTTGACAAAACAAACGGCGATTTGTACATAGCAGATGCTTATTTGGGGCTGATGAAAGTGGGGCCCGAAGGCGGTTTGGCGACATCACTGTCGACCGAGGCCGACGGAGTTCCATTAGGATTTACGAATGATTTAGACATTGATGTCGATGGGAATGTTTATTTCACCGACAGCAGTATAAAGTACCAACGAAGGTAGATAATTTATTTTTTTATAATCTTGAAACTTATGCATTTTAATTAAAAAAATTAAAAAATTATACGAGCGTTTTGAAGTTTGATATGCTGCTTGTTTTCAGAAACTTTCTGCAGTTGGTTTTCTCGGGAGACGATAGTGGAAGGTTGCTGAAGTACGATCCGAGCAAGAAAGAAACGACCGTTCTAATTCGAAATCTCCAGTTTCCTAACGGTGTTTCGTTAAGTAAGGATGGTTCGTTCTTTGTGTTCTGTGAGGGTTCGTTGGGCAGGTAGATATATATAACTCTCTCTCTCTCTCTCTCTCTCTCTCTCTCTCTCTCACACACACACACACACACACACACACACACACACACACACACTGTGTGTGTGTGTTTTGCAGTTATACATAGATATGAATCTAAACTTAAGGCCTCGTTTGGTTGGTAAGATTAGCCATAAGTAGTTGGACCTTATTGGATGGTTGATCAGTCCGATAACTTTTCGGAACCTTATCTTAGTAACCAAACGAGACCTTAGAGTATAATACATGGTCTTAGAATCGGGATATGAAGCTAAGCTAAAGAACACATATGTCATAACTTGAGATCATCATATACGTCATAATTTTTGTCCGATTTTTTTAAAGGTTGAGTAAGTACTGGTTGAAGGGCGAAAAGGCGGGGTCCACAGAAGTTATGGCGGTGCTATCTGGACACCCGGACAATGTCCGAACGAACAAAGATGGGGATTTCTGGGTGGCGATTCACTGCAGAAGGTATATGTACTCACATTTCTTGGGGCTGTACCCTAAAATCAGACAAGTGTGGCTAAAGCTTCCGATTTCTGCGAGGCTGCATTATATGATGCAAATCGGAGGGCGACTACACGCAGTGGTGGTGAAATACAACGCGGAAGGGGAGCTTCTGAAGATATTGGAGGATAGTAGTGGGAAAGTGGTGAAGGCAGTGAGTGAGGTGGAGGAGAAAGATGGTAGGCTTTGGATTGGGAGTGTTTTGATGCCTTTTCTTGCTGTTTATCAGTTGCAATATGTGTTTTCCCGACGCGAGGTGTTAAACCAGCGGCCCATTCCAAGCTGACATGCCAGCTGGTCGACTTCTGAGGATAGCCTTGCCATCCACAAAATCTAGCTCAAAGTGTCACCGTACGGAAGCACGAAATAGTGGCGCTATTCACCTGACTATCTCCAATAAT